GGAGGGAGGGAGAGAGAGAGAGAGAGAGAGAGAGAGAGAGAGAGAGATGAAAGGAGGGAACCACCCAAACCAGAGATAGGCCTTGACACTGCCCAGGGAGGGGAAGGAGAGAGGCAACGGCCCCGGGCTGAGGCCCACCTCGGTCCAGCTCGGCATGGGGCTCTCCCAGGCTCATGGGGATGCGGAAGGCAGCCTGGTCCCCTTCGAGCACACACAGCAGCTCCTGCTCACTGAGATCGGCTGGGGCCGGGATGGCGTCCGATTGACACACATTGATGAAAACCTTTCCCTCTGGGGAGCGGGTCTTGACACAGAAACCTGGAGGGGACGAGGCCGTGGGGCAACCAAGGCACATGCCCAGACAGAAGAAGAGACAGGAGGACAGAGACCACCCCTCCACCCCGAATCAGTTCAGATGGAGACACAGAAACAGGGTCAGGGAGTCACAGGCTTGCTTCGGCCACTGACCCCAGCACCGTGTGTCTGCTCCTTCTCCCCATCTTCATCTGGCCATGTCTCCATTTGCCCCTCTCTGCCTCTGCGTTTTGTTTCTTTCTTTCTCTTTTTTCCCCATCTCTGCCCCCCACTCCTCTCGCCTTACCAGGCTTGGGCTGGATCTGCCTGGAGTCAGGCATGGGTGACTGGGCATCCAGGATCTTCTGCATGGCCTGCAGGGACACGGACCCCAGAATCAGCAAGTAGAACCTCCACCTCCCCAGACCCACTAGACCTCCTCAGACCCCTGCCCACCTGCAGCAGCATCTGCTCACACAGGCCCCTGTTCTCCTCCTCTGCCTCAGCTCTGGCTTCCTCCCTCAGCTCCGCAGCCAGCAAGGAGCTGTCCCGGCCCAGGGACGAGTCTGAAGCTGAAGCCATGGTCTCTGGGAGGAAGGAGGCTTCCTTATGTCCAAGGATGCTTAGAGATCCTCCGGGCCCCAGCCAGCCCCACAGGAAGGACGCTTAGAGATCTTTGGGCTGGACCAGCCTGCTGGACACATCACAGAGGGTCAGTGCTCCTGGGGAATGGGGAAGTGGGGGAGAGGACCCCCCCCTTTTCTGCCCCTCCCCCTCCAGGGGCTGAGAGCCCCAGGAGTACAACCCGCCCCCTGGCAGGGCATGACCACAGGTGACCCAAGGGACCCCCACCTCCTCCCCTCCCCAGACAGGCCTAAAGGAGGCTGAGATTCCCAGCCAAGTGTGCTCCTGGGGGCCTGGGAGAGGGCAGCTGCAAGCCAACACCTAAAGGACGCTTAGAGATCCTCGCTGGTCTGAAGGGTCTGCCCTGTGGGCAGGGCTGGAGCATTCACTGCCCTCTCCTTCCTCCTTTCCCGGTTCCAATCCTAAAGCTCGCTTAGGGATCCTCGGCCCTACTCAGGCAGGACGGGACCCCTTGGGTGGGGGCTGCGAGAATTAGGGGAGACACCCCTCTTGCCTGGACCCCTGGGGCTCCCGAGTCAAAAAACACTTAGAAATCGTAACTCTCTCCGGGTACAGAGCAGGAAACCGGGGTACTCGAGGTGAGGAGGCGGGACTCACGAACAAACCGCTCAGACCCCAGCCCTAGCACCCAAGACCCTCCCAGACGGCCCCAGTCCCACTTCCGGTGGCTGGCAGGTGCCGCCGTCACCTAGGAAGCCGCAATTCGGGCCTCGCGCCACACTTCCGGCGCACGGCCCCGCCTCATCCGGGACCGGCGACACGCTTCCGGTACGTCTCGTGAGCCAATGGGAGGCTGCGGCGGGAAAGGGAGGCGGGGCGTGCGGTGGAGCGGGGCGGTGCTCGGCGGATTCCCTGTAGTGCCCCAGGGCCTCAGCCTGGGCGGAGGGCTGTGGGCGTCTACGCTGGGCGGGCGACATGGCGGCGGCGGCCACGGCGACGTCGCGTGGGGCGTCCAGCGCCCGGGACATCTTCTTCTCCCTGGACTACGGGCCTGCGCCCGAGAGCCCCTCGCTGGCGCTGGTGAGCCCGCGCATGCGTGCCCCTCGGCACCGGCTCCCTGGGCTCCGTGCAAGCGAAGC